GACGACGACTCGAGACCCATTGCGGCCACCGATCGCTTCAAATACTCGTAGAGACCAAACATCGGAAGGAAGTCCACGTCTGTGAGGAAGACGAATGGGGTGTTGACCTGTTGGAGGGCGACGTTCCGCAAGTGATTGATCGGATAGAAGGGGCCGTCTCTGTACACGATATGATAGCCGATGTTCTTCCGCTCGCGCAGTATCTCCGATGTCTGCGCGTAGCCCAAGAACTGTTGCACTTCCGAGTCCGACATATACATGGCCAGTGAGATGGGGCCCTCCCAGTGCTGGCACAGGGCCTCAACCATCTGCAACCGATCCATCGACAACTGGGCGACGAGAGTCACGTCATTGCCTTCGGGCGACGGCTCGTAATCGTATTCAATATAATACAAGTGAGTCCTGTGTTGAGTGACTCTCGACCGGCGGAACTCATAGCACGGGTCGTCTTCGTCGAGAAGATTGATGGGATTCGTGGACTCGGAATACATGGCATTCTCTTTGGTATTATTACATCCGATGAGTTCGCGTCTCAATAGGTTTCCGTCGTATTCGAGAAATGTTAGGTAAAGATTGCGAAAGAACTCCAAGTGTTTGTTCTTGACCTTCAGTTTCTTCGGCGAATTCCAGTGAATAATCTTCAGGTCCTGTACTTCGGTGTAACACAAGGCGTCGGACAGTGTGTTGTCGCTGAGCTGTACGTTCCACTGACACGGGAGCCGATACACCAAATACGGGTACTGTTTGATGACGGCGTTGAAGATGTCCTGATCGGCCAACGATGTCGACAACATCGACATCAGCTCCTTCTCGGCCACCATTTTCCAGATGACCGACCAATTGAATTGTCGCAAGCGTTTCAAACTAAACAATATGACGCCAGTGTTGAAGCCGCGGCCCAACGCCGGCCACGGCCTGTGATTCTTCCACAGTTTCCCCAAATACCAGTCGCTCTGATTCTCGACTAATGCCAGCGACTCTTTGGTCATCTTCGAGAACAGACTCCAGAGTTCGGCGATATCTGTGGCAAACGTCACGTCAGTGTCTAAAACGATCACTTTGTCCAACGATTGCGGCAACGCTTTCGGTAACACGAGTTTCATGAGTCCGTAAACACCGGAATAGTGTTTATTCGGAACCCACGACACGTCCGACTGAAGATTGTCCGCCAAATAGAAGCTGAAGGCCAGTCCCGGCACTGACCACGTCTTGAACAGTGTCTGAAGTATTGTGTGAGCGATTGAATCGCTGATGAAATGAAAGTGAAGCGGATTTTTGCGATAAAAGAGTATCGATTTGATTAACGTTACGACACTTCGGGACGAGTTATAACCGGCGCAGACAATCACTATCTCAATGATCTCGCATTTGGGCACAAAGTCTTTGTGGACACTGTTCTCGCAATTTGTGCCATTGTTTTGACCCGAATTGGTCTCCGAGTTCACAGATAATGGGTTTGAAATAATGTTATTATAATTATTACTATTACTATTGATATAGTTATCATTGGTATTGATTTGTGGATTGTTTTGGTTCTGTTTGTTCACAGTTTCATCTGATTTGTCGGCGTTCTTGTTGTTGCCGTTCTGGCCGTCGGTGTCGGCCATAATGGACACCAACTTCTCCCTCGATATACTCAACTGTCGCCTCAGGAACTGATTCTGTTGTTCCACTTCTTTGACCCTTTCGGCCAGTTTTGCTTCCCTATCAGTGAAGCCCAAGAAGTGCTTCGAGTGAGACGTCCTGTCCCTCAGCTGTGTATAGATGTATAAACTCATAGGTATTGAACACAACAACACTAATGACCACAACTGAATCATTTGTCTTCTCCTCATCTTCTTCGGCAACATTGATGTCATTTCAATGCAAACACACTATTCATACAATCGATGGTAACCAATGAATCATCACTTTTGGCACATCCAACACATCCCAGCCATTAATCGCTTCTCCGATCGTTATCTCATAATCGGCTCAATATATTCAACACAATAT